ATTAAAACGCAAAGCTGTAAGAAAATCGTTTCCAGTAAGAAGTTTACACTCATTATGGAAAGAAATTACACATCACTATGAGGTGGGAGGAAGTTGACCAAAAATGGAAATATGCAGCTCAAAGCTTATCTGAAACCTGCAGCAGCAAACATAACAAAAAAATAAATAAATAAAAAAAACATTCTGAGCAGAAATCGTTTTGTCAGAGAAGATGTTGATCTCCCATCTCCATCAGTTCAGAGCCTGCGTACAATCACGTACCACTGGAGAAGTGTACAAAGCTGTTTATGTAGCTAATGGAACCATAGAGGCTGGATTCGAAATGCAGTAAAAACAGGGTTTTAAAATAAAACCAGCATGGTAGCATTAGGTTTGTGTACAGAATATACACCTGGAAAGAAATATAGAAATATATAAAAATAACATTAAATATCTAATAAAAAAATTCTAAAAAAAAATGTATAAATGAAGTATAAAAAAAATCCAGAATGCATCCAGAATGTTACCTTTTAATTTCCTTATTTCCTTAATTAACTTTTGATTTCCTTATTTTAAAAGTAAATAGACTATTGGAATTTTCTTCTATGTGTTCCTGTTATTCATGTAAGATAAATCAATAAGTGAACAGTCTGCAGAATGTGACACATTTTGTCCAATTGAATAATGAGGATTAACAATGGAATAATCTCTAACTACAATATTAATTTATCGCTGCCCTATATGCATTAACCTATTTAAATTGATAAACAAGGCAAACATTGAGCTTATGAAAGGCCTTGAATATCTTAACATCTTTTATAAATTACTCTTAAAACCAAGCAATTTAAATGGGCTTTAACAAATCTGTCAATAACATTGGGTAAAGAAATACATATATTTAAGCATGTTTTAATACTTTTTTTGAGCCTGAGAGGAAATTCAACATTAGTATTAAACTACTACAACCAGTAGTCATTTTAAATATCACTTAAGAGGTGTGATGAAAAAAAAAATTTAAACTTAAACCGAATATCAAATCTGTGAACATAATGAGAGCATATATTAAAAGATGAAAAGGAAATAAAATAATTTTACACAATAACCTTAACAGGTATTTGTTTGAATTATTTAATATAATAAATATGTGTGCCAATCAAAGCCCTTATGAGTTAAGATTTATACAAACATTTTAAAAAGCTAAGCTCTGCAACTTTAAACATCATAAAACTTGACTATGCATACATGCAGAAGGATTTTTTTGTTAAAGTCTAATAAAAGAGGTATGCATGCATGTGTGGTATATTTTGCAGTTGAGGAACACTTTCAGAGAGTGCTTGCATTTGACCATGATCTCTCTAAATTATGTTTGTGCTCACATATTCTATACAATCAATATTCTTTATTAAATTGAGGATAGAGATGGCCAGCCCAGGCTCAATGTTAGCCTTAAAACAGACTTTAAAGCTATCTCTTTGCCTTTTAAGTATCTGTGCAAATCAACAAACAGCTCAGCGTTTCAAACGACTGTGAGCTTAAACATATAAGAGGCTTCAGGAGAAAGAAAAGTGACAGAAGGGCCAAGACCTCTGCACTCATTTAGACTCCAACAGCTCAACCTTCTGCTCCTGACAGAAAGCTCAACATCAGAAGGCCAGGGAGGGCAAATGGACCAGGGACAGAAGCCAAGGGCACAATGTCACGTTGAACTCTGAGCCGCCAGCCAAACCAGGAAGACTCTGTGGGACGTTCAGTCCCAGCTTTAAGAACAAAGGAGTGGGTCTGACACCAGCCAGGCATCCTCCCGGGTTCTGGCTGTACTTCAAGTCTTCTGAGGACCCTTTAAGGCTCCTCTATGGGACCACGTCCTGCCGTTGGCAGTGCTCACAAGCTCATCTCATATGGGGCCGTCTTCCTGGACACAGTGCTGGGACCCAGCAGGAAGGATTCTTTTCCAAATTAACAGCTCAAGAATAACAATGAGAGTTCAGACTTTTAACTTTAAATGGGCAGTAAAATCATACAGCCAAAAGGTATGCCAAAAGAGGGCAAAAGAGTGAAAGATACAACAGATGCACTGCGGTATGTGACCAATATGAGGGTCATAAAATTAGTAATTTAGCTAGAAATACCCAACTTTAGGAACTCACTCTAAATGCATATGAGTAGCTGGACGTTTTAAAATTAAATCTTTTTTTTTCTACTTATCTGAAGCTGGACAACACAAGATGAAATTCAACAAATTCATTTGCAGCAAAGGAAACATGTAGCATTGAAAATCTAATTAGATTTTAGTACTTTTCATTTTTAACCCCAGTAGAAACCTTATGCTGAGTAGAAGCCCAACATCAGCAAAAAATACCCAATATTATTTAATACAAGATGTATTTAATATACAAAAGGATCTTAAGGATAAAGATATCGAAACATTTTGAAGGTTTTCTGCGTACTATTGGACTTGTTATTCAAGTACACCAGTTAAATCCAAACTTTATTCTAAAACATTCTTTAAAAAAGGAGAAAGAATTGTGTTTAATAATGGTGCTCACAAGTGCTTATATCTTGGCCCCTTAAGAGACTGGAACCAAGCGTGAGATCCCAAAACCAGTTAAACTTCAGCACAAAAACAAAGCAGGCTTAAAGAGCCAGACAATGCCTCAGTATGTCTGTGCATTAATGAACTAAAAATATGCAAATCAGACAGAGGAGCAAAACACTGTGCATGTCGCTGGGAGCATGTTTGAGCATCGGTGCTTTTCTGTGAGACTGCGCGAGTCTAAAGGTGGGAAATGGGCAACCTTCTCACCCTTGTTCTGTGATCCCTCCCAATGGGTAAAATAGGAAGAAGCGGGGAGTTGGTGTGCTAGACGCTGCAATGACAAACAGACAAGGAAACATACGAGGGTGGGGTAGTAAATGCCACCATTGGAGGGTAAGGTACTGTGGTAACAGCGCAAGTTCTTAGAGAAACATTGTGAGCAAGATTCAAAACACAGATGCAAACACAACACACTCATGTGCATTCCTTGCACACACTGTCAAACTGAGAAATTAGGCAAAGCGCTGTGCAAGACGCCAGATAAAAAGATATGGCAGTTTGCCATAATCTTCAACAGTACATCAGGCTCTCATGGACAGGAACAATCTCTGGGAAAACCAAACAAACTGAGGATGGTGTGAAAGTATAAAAGAGAAAGGAATAACTAGTAAACCTAAAAAAAACCAGTGGATTTTGGAAAAAAAACTTTTCTTTCACTACTATCCAACACTCAAAGATTTTTCAGCACCCTTGGTCTCAAGATTAACATCCTTATAAACTGAAGATGTACAGGGTGTGACAAAACAATCAGACCAGCAATTCAAAGATGCAAGCATCTCAAGATGGGGAACCCAACTTTTTTACTGCAGAATTATATACAGCTCTTTCTTTTTCCTTAACTTAATCTCCAAGGTTTAACTGAATACTGCATAAAACTGATGTAACTTGAACAAAAAAGAAATGGATTATGAACTTCAAACTTTAAAACGGAGTCTCAATATTTTCCTAAAGACATTGACAAAAGAAAGTTTATGCTACAGGCTGATATTGTTCTAATTCTTTGGGAACTGTTAGGATAATTATCATTGATAATGTGTGAGTTTATTAAACCTTAATATTAGCTGCCTGTTGCGTGTCAGAATTGATGTTTTCTCCAGTAGTTTATCTACTTAGGCCAGTTCCTCGGTCCGGCTATATACATTATAATCTTGGTTCTGTACGTGGCAAATATTTGGGAATGGAATGAGAGCGGTGTTCTTCAGTTAAGAAAAAAGTGTAATATTTTGAAAAGGCTGGAGCCATGGATGTCTCCTCGTCCGCAGACGTGTATGATGTAACGTTGTGATGATGCAGCATACTGAAGTATAAAATACTTCTCTACCTGTTTGTCAGGGCCACTTCCCGAGAGGCGAGCTCTAAGCAACTTCACTGATCTCAGTAAGATTAAAATTTCTATAAAAATCTGTTGGCATGTCTCATGGTTATTTAATACATATACGTTAATAAGTGTTATTTAAAGAATTAGTCCTGAGTGATCTTTTTTTCAGGAAAAAGAACTAGAGAGAGACAATTCAAGGTGTAGACAGAGCCTACCTTTAACAGAACTTAATCCTAACATAAGCTCTGCAGCCACATTATCTATAATGACTTTAGAGAAGAAAATCGATTGTAAATTAACCCCAACCCAGTTATGTGATTTAGTTTTTTCAAGTTTAGCTCCTATTAAGACTCTTATACCCTTCAAACTTAAGCCATCTATGTAAGCCAAATAGCATATTAAGGTGTGATCACCCAGATAAAATCCACATTAAGGAACACCTACAGGCCAACTGTGCTCTCAGGCAGCTCGGGTTTATTTCAACTCTGACATGCCCCCCATCCTTACATGAGTCAAACACTTCCATCTTTTAAAGTGTGTGGTCAAACAGGGGCATATAAAAAAGTATATGAATTATATGTAAACAAAATTTTAAATTTTCTTGTGTATCATATGTGAATATAGACTAAGTCTACGTCAGAACGTCTGCCCTAACCACCCTACATGGGTTACGCCATTGATATGAGTGTCTGAATGTCTAGTGGACGAAAAAGTAGTGGGCTCAAAATTTCCCACCATGCACCTGGAAAAGTAGTGATCATCCAAGGTCACTAGACGAGCAAGACAGACCAGTAGTGTTTCTTTCTTTTCAATGAGAAATTGTTGCAAAGGGTAAAAACATTGAAATGCACATTTTGCCCATAAATAAAGTTTGTCATTTTGAGAAAGATTGTTAAAGCAGTAACTGGACACACTGTTTACATTAAATCCTGAGCAGAGACATAACTCCCCTTTATCTTTTATCTTAAAAGATAAAGGGGAGTTATGTTTAAAAGTAAACGTAGAACAAAATGAAACCAACTGTGCAGGATAATAATTCACTTTATGTTCAGAGGTGAGCAGCTTTATATTTCAGATGAAAAGATTGTGTACAGTGGTGCAAGTTACCTTATAACGCATCTTGGGGCAGGAGTGAATGTAAAAGCCTAGGTAGTAGTAGCACAGCTTGGACGACTGTTTCTGCAACTGCCTGGTAAAAGCAATCTCCCTGTAGGGTGGACACGTGAATAGAGTTTAAAATTTTTTTTTTAAAAGTTAATTCTGATTAGATTTAAACTTTTAATTTTGTTTATTTAATAATGTGACAGTGGACATTTATCAACACAAGTACATTAAACTATCATCTAAATACACCACATTTAACCACAAGATTTCATTTTAATCTGTAGTCCCATAGAAGGGAAAACAAAGACAATAAAACAAATAAATACACATATACAGCAAGCATAACATTTACCAAAGATATGTTAGTAAATATTAAAACATCAGCAAATATAAAAGCATTCTTAATGCACTAAAACAAACCGCATGGAGAAAGAATAAGTCAAATTTAAGTCAATCTATGATGTGTGCTCATTTACATCATGATTTCATTTCGATTATTGAAAGGCTACTGTTTATGGGAAAATGTGTAGTGATGAAATGTTTTTCAGTTGTATGAATACCATGTTCTATGAATATGAAGTATGAAAAAGACGACTGACCAAAGGAGCTTTTCCTGGTTTTGTTGCAGACGGTGAAGCAAAGTATAATATCTGAATATATAAACATATTAACCCAAACCAGAAGCTTTTATTTACTTAATATTTTACAAAAATCATTCAAATTGGATTTTTTTTTTGTCCTCAGTTTCTTTTGAAAGCTGTTCTTTTTTTGCCATCTAAAAAAAAAACTGCAGCAAATATTTTCTGTTTCCTGAAAATGTATATAGATTATATTAAGACAGCAGAAAAACCTCCGTAGTCTCCACATTTCTTTCTACCAGGGATCCGCATGTGGAAAGCCTTACCATTATTGTTAATAGTTAGATCGAATCAGGTTCTAATAAAAGAAATAGCAATGAATTCATGAATGATCATCTATCTTAATTTAATCGTGTTGAATTTTAATCCTATCTTGCTTTGTATTATTGGGTTTCCATGTTGTTTTTGCAACCAAAATGCCCACCGAGGGACACCACAGCATATCAATGTTTACCTTTGTAGTCTTTCCCAACTTAACACTTGCCCCCGTCCAAAATAACTAATATAAATGTTTTACAAGCAAGGAAAAAACGTAAAATTGTTCAAAATCTTGATGTAACCCAAATGGAATAAAATGCACTGTTCATAAATGTCCATCTATGAAGGTCTTATATACTGAGAGAATTAATAAAAACAAAGTTTTTCTAGCAACACTGCTAGCACCAAAGCTCAGGAAGTAAACACCCACAGTAAAACAGGATTGCTTTTCTTGGACTCATGCAAAAACAACCGCCTTTCCTCTACCAGCATTAACCCCTTAGATGGAGAAAAAGGAACTGAAGGGAGCGTGTAAAATAAAGATTAAAGACTTGCAAGATTTATGCACCACTTCTAAATACAGTACGTCTTTATTTTTCCTCAATAGTTTCCTTCTTAATTGCATCCTTTTACTCAAAGCCTATTTTTCCCCTTTCCATTAGCCATTTCCTTTGCTCTTCCATAGCTAAATTCTAGTTCCCTTTTTTGCTCCCTTTTTGTATCACTCTTCCTTCTAGTGCTCTGTGCTTCACCCGCTAAAAGGAAGGGGGAGACCTCCCTTTCTTACAAAGCTTAGGAGGCCTTAAAATAAAATAGATGCACTGAAAAATAAGATGTGGGACAAAGGAAGCAAGGGGAGAAAGGGGGGAGACACAGGGAGTGAGAGAGCAGGAGGAGAATATAAAAGATGAGGGTCAAGAAAGAGAAAGAGATGGAGAAGAGAGGCAGGGAGAGCGAGGTGCTAGAAGGTCACCCGCTTTCTGCCAGGTTCCTGGGTTCCCATCCCCTCACTACAAAAGGACCCGGCAGGGCTGAATTGGATGAGGGGGGTCAAGAGAGGGGAGGTGCCCATTCACAAAAAGCCATGTTTCCCCCTTTACTTGAGGCCTTCACACCCCCGCCTCCAGCCCAATGGCAGCAGCTTGAGTCTGCCATTATCCCCTCTTCAGCCATCTGACACTCCACCACAAGCCAATTATCAAGGCCTCTGCTCCTGAACTGCTTCCCTCATACTGATGTGCATATGCACACAAAGGAAATAAAACTCTGCATACCATGAGGAGCGGGATGCAGCCCTGAATTGTATGTGAAAGAATCTCATTCTAAAAACTAAAAGACATCATTTCAATTTTACTGAACTGAAATTATGAAGTGAGAATCGTGATGTGGGGGCTAAATAAAAAAGCAGGACAAACTTTTCAAATTTAAAACATTAGTATGAAAGCTTGAGTAAGACACTGCCTATTATGCCCACCAGGGTGAAACAATTTAGCAAAAAAAAATCTACATTTTACAAACCAATGTTGCAATTACATTTTATTTTATTACTTTTAAAGCCTCTATTGTTGAAGGACTTTACTGTTACTGATATGTGGAAAAGCGTATCCCTCTAGTTTGCATGTATTGGCGCGCCAGCTACAACGCTCTCTTCCCTTCTGTGTGGCAGCAAACCCACTCTAAGCGCATTACCACCACCTACAGGACTGGAGTGAGAAGGTGTTTTACCCCTGTTAACTGTAAATTATCAAAAATGTTGTTCCTCTGTGATCTAAAAAATATGTTTTGTCAATTAGAGATCTTATTGCCACTAGTCTGGAAATCTGACCTGAAAATGGAGAGAGCAGAAGATCGCACATAAAGGGTAGTGACTAAGTTTTTTTATCCATCTATTGTATCATTATTCTTAAACTTATGAAGTAAAGATTACAGATCAAGAATGCAGAAAACATCTCTGCTCAGTTTTCTAATAAACTACTAACCTGCATTAATCAGTAGTGACTTCAAGTAGTGAGAAACAGTATGGAGGACAGACGGCTGGAAAATGAAATGGATCACAGGACCTGCAGTATGTCTGCATGTGATGCTCTCTAAACTAGTTGAGTGCCCTTTAATGTCAATCTCAATTTCTGTTTAATAAGTAAAAAGTGCATTAAAGAGCATCTGAACTCTGAGCAGCAAGATGAAGACAGAGGGGGAACAGAGAGCGCCCAGAGCAGATCAAAGGCGCAGACTCTGGTGTCTATAAACAAGTGGGAGGATTTCAGTGCTGCTGGCTCCCTCCTCCACACAGAGTAATCTGTGTTACTCTTTGACTCAGGCCCTTAAAAAATAAGTGATGGGGGACTATGAGCTCAGGATGACTAGGGAGTTCCCTCTATACAGGCAGCTGCAAATATTTTGACCTCTGCTTTGCTGATTTAGAGCAAGATTACATCTGCACATTTGCCTGGACACCCGAAACCCATAGTACGACACCTAAACACGCTGAAAATATCTTTAAAAGCCTTTCTCACATTATTGAATTACATCTTATAGGAAATGCAGGATGTGTGTGCCCACAGTGTGTGAGTGTGCTCTTATATTCAGGCTTGGAGGAGAGAACTGTCATCGGCTGAAGCACAAACAGAGCACTGCCGCAACCAATCAACTGTGAAGAAAGGTGTTTTTTTTTATCTAAAGCCTTACAGAACATATAATCTGATGCTGAGGTCAACAGAAAAAGAAGAAACAGAAGGAATGCAGCTGAGAGATGGGAAAAGAGGAGGGAATAAGAAAGGAAATCAAATTAAGTTAATCGCCATAATGATTGGTTGTTTCTTTTTTCATCCTAAGCTTAGTAGCCGGAGATATCTTGTGTACAGAAGGATAAAAATCTTAAGCTACTGACCTGAGAGCAGAGTATGACCCTAGAGAAAGCGATGCAAAGTCTGGATGGTAGTACAGATAGACTGAAGACACACAGGTAGGCAAGATATCAATCACTCCCACTGCCACAAGGCGTCCATCCAGCCAGTACTGCTGGTGGAAGGAACCGTATCCCATCTCTGGTCCATCGGGAGACTGTTCTGCCTAGAGAAACAAAACAAAAAACAAAGACATCAATTTAATTCAAGAAATAATTAAACTTGAATGTCAAATCTAGAAATCGACGGGGATTGTTTATGCTGTTTTTTATTGCAACTTCTACAACCAACCAATAGCTATTCATAATTGTGAATTGAAAGTAAAACAACAAACTCATGCATTTGCTCACTTACTGAAGTATTGGAATAGTATGAACCTGTGAGTAGGAGTGGTGATAATTGTTGATATTAAGGGCTGTATGAAGGAGAAGCAGTCAGAATAAGCTTCACTTCTTCATACCTCTTTTCAGGCATAAAGACTAAACTATGCATATAAATAATGTTTGTGTGTATTAGTAATGTTGTTGTGTATGTTAGTACTTTAGTAATTCTGTTTGATTGTCTGAAAAAAGGTTTTAATTTAATGATTCAGACCATTCTAAACCATTCTGACAAATATTCACTTGAAGTGTTACAGTTGGATATACACTATATTGCCAAAAGTATTTGCTCACCTGCCTTGACTCACATATGAGCTTAAGTGACATCCCGTTCCTAATCCATAGGGTTCAATATGACGTCGGTCCACCCTTTGCAGCTAGAACAGCTTCAACTCTTCTGGGAAGGCTGTCCACAAGGTTTAGGAGTGTGTTTATGGGAATTTTTGACCATTCTTCCAGAAGCGCATTTGTGAGGTCGCACACTGATGTTGGACGAGAAGGCCTGGCTCTCAGTCTCCGCTCTAATTCATCCCAAAGGTGTTCTATCGGGTTGAGGTCAGGACTCTGTGCAGGCCAGTCAAGTTCATCCACACCAGACTCTGTCATCCATGTCTTTATGGACCTTGCTTTGTGCACTGGTGCACAGTCATGTTGGAAGAGGAAGGGGCCAGCTCCAAACTGTTCCCACAAAGTTGGGAGCATGGAATTGTCCAAAATGTCTTGGTATGCTGAAGCATTCAGAGTTCCTTTCCTTGGAACTAAGGGGCCAAGCCCAGCTCCTGAAAAACAACCCCACACCATAATCCCCCCTTCACCAAACTTTACACTTGGCACAATGCAGTCAGACAAGTACCGTTCTCCTGGCAACCGCCAAACCCAGACCCGTCCATCAGATTGCCAGATGGAGAAGCGCGATTCGTCACTCCAGAGAACGCGTCTCCACTGCTCTAGAGTCCAGTGGCGGCGTGCTTTACACCACCGCATCCGACGCTTTGCATTGCACTTGGTGATGTATGGCTTGGATGCAGCTGCTCGACCATGGAAACCCATTCCATGAAGCTCTCTGCGCACTGTTCTTGAGCTAATCTGAAGGCCACATGAAGTTTGGAGGTCTGTAGTGATTGACTCTGCAGAAAGTTGGCGACCTCTTCGCACTATGCGCTTCAGCATCCGCTGACCCCGCTCCGTCAGTTTACGTGGCCTACCACTTCGTGGCTGAGTTGCTGTCGTTCCCAAACACTTCCATTTTCTTATAATACAGCTGACAGTTGACTGTGGAATATTTAGGAGCGAGGAAATTTCACGACTGGATTTGTTGCACAGGTGGCATCCTATCACAGTTCCACGCTGGAATTCACTGAGCTCCTGAGAGCGACCCATTCTTTCACAAATGTTTGTAAAAACAGTCTGCATGCCTAGGTGCTTGAATTTATACACCTGTGGCCATGGAAGTGATTGGAACACCTGATTCCAATAATTTGGATGGGTGAGCAAATACTTTTGGCAATATAGTGTACCTTTAAGGGTATGTCTCTACAACCCTTAAACATATCTGTCTTCCTTACCTAAGTTTTTATTTTTGGAGGTGAACCTCACATGGATTTTGTCTAAGCTCTGACCAGAACAGCGGTTCTTAAACTTTTCTTACAAGTTTAAGTTTATTAAAAATTTTCATACTCCCCAAAATCGCACCCCAACCTCCTGACTGACCTTTTCAGTCATTTGTGACCAATTTCATAATGCTATAAAAGTAACTACAACCTCTTTTAAATCACAAAACTACTGCCTTAAAGGAATAGTACACCCAAAACATGATTAGCCTTTATTTTCTACTCACCCCCATGCTGAACAACACTCTGGAGTACTTTTTGATATCTCAAATGCATCTGGAGATCTGGGAGGCTTCTTGCTGTCTGCTGACATTCAAATAATTGAGGTCTATGGTGCCCGAGACAGAAAGGTCCATAAAAGTCCACAAAAAACGTGTCAATATTCCTCCATACCACTCGTCCAATGTATTTCAAGTGCCCTGAGTGGGTAGCGTCCATAATTTACTCGAAACGAAGGTATTTAGAATGTTTTTAGAGCATAAACAGTAGTGTATAGGATTTCCTAAAAGCGCGTTCACTAGTCTACGGAAACCGCGGCAGACCAAACCAGACGAAAGTGCGCATTCAGCTCGGCAAAGAACTCATGCTCTTCCTCAACACTGAAGTCCTCAGACATTTTTCTGTCGTTGTTTCTTTCTTTGCACAGGTAAACGGCACATTTCTTATTCTACGCTTGCATTATCGGCAGAGCAGACGCTGAATGTGCACTTTCGTCTGGTTTGGTCTGCCGCGGTTTCCGTAGACTCGTGAACGCGCTTTTAGGAAATCCTATACACTACTGTTTATGCTCTAAAAACATTCTAAATGACTTCGTTTCGAGTAAATTATGGACGCTACCCACTCAGGACACTTGGAATACATTGGACGAGCAGTATGGAGGAATATTGACACGTTTTTTGTGGACTTTTATGGACCTTTCTGCCTCGGGCGCTGGGCACCTCCATTATTTGAATGTCAGCAGACAGCTAGAAGCCTCCCAGATCTCCAGATGCATTTGAGATATCAAAAAAGTACTCCAGAGTGTTGTTCAGCATGGGGGTGAGTAGAAAATGAAGGCTAATCATGTTTTGGGTGTACTATTCCTTTAAATGTCCTTACTTAAAGTGTAATTTTTTTAATTTCACCCAGTAACAGAAAACATTTCAATCGAAAATGTTTTGTTAAAAAAGCCCTAAAAATGGGTAATTTACTCAGATCACGTTTTGCGTCTGTATGAAATAAAGTTCCAACATAAAACCTTAAACTCATAGAGGGTCCATACAACACACTTACTGTATAATGGTGTATTATTACTGCTGTATTTCTCAGCCAAGCCTTGTGTATTATGAGAGGGTGTGTACAGTAGCCTCCCGTTTAGCTTGCTAATGGTTCCCAAATGTGGAGTGAAAGCTAGAGCAAGGAGGGGTTACCGCTGGGCGATGTGAGGGACCGACCACAGAAACTCTCCAGGAGAGAGCTTTTTAATAAAAGAACCTGCGTGAGCAAAGCCCATTCCACAATGCGGTTGTGGCGTGCTGCCAGGCTTTCTACTATATATCTGCTTTCGCTCATTCCATGTGGCACAAAAGAATGTGGGTGTAGGTGTGCACCCCTGAGCTTGACTCTATCCCATTAACTAAACACTTGAGGTTTTAACAGACACACCGTTTCTCATAAGAATCGGCATGCTGGGTTTTTCACTCAAACTACTTTATCGCTTTTATAGCCGTCGGTTTAAGACTAGAGGCTTGGGGTTAGGGTTAAAAGTCACGTCAAGCTGGAGCAGAGGTTTAACGTTTGTGTGTGTGTGTCTTTCTTCGGCGCGCTAGTAACAGGATCCGGCTCCTTAGCCGACATTCATCTGGACACAGTTAAGCGGCAGACACTGCCAGTTATCACAACACAGAGAGCTGACTGAGTAATCTGGGGATCCACCGGGGCTGCATTCTGACCAAATTAAAACTTGCCAAAAAGAAATGAGGCACAGTCTGAGAGACACCTTCCCTGCAGCTCTTTGACCCCAGAAGGCTGATGGTTTTCTTAAATATAACTGGTTACTACAAATAAGACCAATGGACTCACAGCTATGAAAACCGTAGAACACCATTTATGCCAATCAGACCAAACATTATATAACAGCTTGTTTTTATCAGACACCAGTTACTCCAGAAACATTGGACTCTTTGTCAGAGACCCTACTCTGTCATTTAACAGCTTTAGGTAACTGAAAACAACACAAGAGCATTCATTTAACCCACCTGGAGTAAACATGGAAGAGGAAAATATACAACTGTGAATATTGCTGAAATAATGTAAAAGCTTTATTGTGTTAGCCGTAATGTTAGTAAGATTGCTGAGCTTACTTTGGACCTCCTCTGACCCATCTACTGACTCAGACGACAGCTTAATGGTTGTGTCCTTGCCACTGTGACAACAATCTCAACATTACCCATAACACTTCAAACCACCTCAGCTTCCCCAGTAGCCCCAAATCACTCTCATATGGCCCAAACACAAGATCACATCAACAAAACATGGTGAAGAGGTGGGGGACATTTTTCAACCTTTAAATCTCTTCTGAAATAATATTAGCTGAACAAAAATGATTAAACTTTAAATTAGAGAATATACATTCACTTCAGATCCTGGTGATTATAATGTTTTTAATTCTAAAATGTGAATTTAAAGTATTGAAAAAATACCAATATAAAAAGGTCTTCTCTACCAGTTAACTTCATCACAGGATGTTGAATGGTAAAGCATCAGCTCACATCTCCAAATGTTTACATGGGTCTGCATCTTTTCTAATGCAAATAGAATAGAATTAGAGTTTATTGTGAATACACTCATAAGTACAAAGCAATGAAATTAACGCTCTGCATTTAACCTATCCCTTTGGGGAGCAGGGGGCTGCCATTGTACGGCACCCAGGGAGCAGTGTGGGGTGAAGGGTCTTGCTCAGGGACCCAGAGTGGCAGTCTGTGGGAGTGGGGCTTTAACTCGAAACCTCAGGATTCAAAGCTCTGTGCCCTAATCACTAGGCGGCCACTCCCCAAAGAGCCATTTTATTCAGAGCCTGGCTAAGAGACACATATATAACATGAATTTCAAATAAAATACACTTTTTTACGTTTTTAAATATCTGCGATAGGAAATCTGTTGCCATTTTAAACAATGGTTAATTTCATTTTTATTTT